TTAAATATGAAAATATTTTAATAAAAATAAATTTTTTTTTTGAGTGCCCGGATATTTTCTTCAGGGGAGTGTATATAGTCCTTCACTTCGTTCCGGACTAATTACATAAAAAATCTTAATATACTGACAGGATTTAGCAAAAAAAAAAAAAAAAATCATTTTTATTGTTTTGAATTAGGGTTTGAATTGCTATAATAGAATTAGATTAAGAAAATTTAATTTAATGTTTTACAAATAAATTTAAATATTATGCAATATATATCCCAAAATGATATTTAAGAAATTCGCAAGGGATCGGAATGAAATTTACCCTAATAAATTTTGATATTTGCAAAAAGGAAATAAATTTGGCGCAATTTTTTTATAAAATATAAAATTATTTTATTTTATTTTAATTGTAGTGCTACAATATAGTTGCGGGGCAAAACGCTAAACCCATTTTGGCAAAAGTTGAAACTTTTCAGAAATAGTTTTGACAGTTTCGATGGGTTTCGACGAGTTTCGGTGGATTTCGATGGGTTTCGATGGGTCTCGAAAGTTTCGACGATTTTGACGGTTTCGATAACAACTTTGCGAATTCTTAAAAAGGACGTGAATATATACTATCTCACATATACTAATGCATAGATCATTATATTGGATGATTTCTCCGAGAATAAAATTAAAAATATTCCCAAAGATTAAAAATTCACACATATGTAACATATTATTATTTTAAGTGTTACCCAGTTCCAAAATCAACTTAGTGAAGACATCATTATTTGTAGAGAATGTCAAAAGAAATATGGTGATATTTGGGAATTTTTTGTTGGACATCAAGTGATAAGACTAGAGAAGTTTGAATAGGTAGAATGGATATTTTAGAAAAGATTTATTATATAAATGAGAAAGCGTGTAATTTTATTAACTGTTCGCCCATGTATGATGGATTAGATAAATATGGTTGTTCATCAAGAGGAATATCATTTAATAGGCATACTTACGAAAAAATTTTTATATTTATAGTTATAACTCTGTCATTTGTTAAACAAATTTTGATATGGTCTAAAACTTTATATTGATGATATTGAGAGAATTCGAAGAATTCATTCAGAGTTGAAAATTTTGGTATATATTTCATGGTAACACCAAAATCGATTCTTCATCTTCCTATTGGTGGATTCCGTCAAAAAATTTGATGAATGATTTGACAAATATTATACACGACGAAGAGAAGAAATCGCTAAAACTTCTTTTGGTGAATTGATCACTCCTGACAGGACAATCTGTTAATACTGATAGAAGTATTATAGAACACATTATTAATTAAACCAAACTCGTAAATCAAAATAAATTTTTAATATTGCCATCGTCGAAACATTTGTCCCCGTCGAAACTTTTGCCAACCGTCGAAACTTTCGCAATTTTGCCTTTAATAAAAAAATTTGGCAAAACGTTTTGATGGGTTTCGATTTCGATGCCTGTTGAAACCTCGGAGTTTTGCCTGGCAACCTTATGCAACAATTAATTATAATGAAAGATTATGTGTAATCCCATGAAGATAATCCATCGTCATAATCCTATTTCTTCATCATTCAATTTTTTTTTTGTGTTGCACGTTTTTCACCACGAATAATACATTCGATCTGAAAATCAACTTGTTGCTGTACTTTTTGTGGCTCTTCAATAATTGTATAGATCCCTACATGACTTTTGTTAACCAAAATTTCCCAATATCGATGCCAAGCTTCTGCAATATTTTATGTTCATGGAATTCTAACCATAATTGTGGTGGAAATAAAGGAAATACACAAATAACACCATTTTTTGGTTGGCAACGCTCTCTTCCATAAACGAATTATCTTCAAATCATTGTACTATTTCATTTGCCTCTGAAGGAATTTCTTGCTTTAATATATAAATGCCTTAAGCATTTCGTTTGATGGTAAAATGCTAATGCGAACAATTGCCGTAACATAATAACTAAAAAGCTGGCATATGATTGTATCTTCTGCCAGCCACTTTGTCCCAAATGAAAAAGACATCTCTATTATTAACACTTGAAACACACTACGCGATGCATTAATTACTCCTTTTCAAAATCAGTAAGTATTAATGAAGTTTGTAAATCAACATCATTTTCTTCAGCAAATTCAACTAATACTTCAAATAGTTGTTTATAAAGTTCTTCAGTCTTATTAGTCAAAATTGCATATGCTAGCGGAAAAATTCTTGGAATTATCTTCTGCATCATCAGGTGCATGAGTAGATAATAGTTGGAACCATTTTGAATGTACCATCCATCATCCAAAATCGTGCTTGAAATAAATGCAGAATATTAGCTTTTGTAATAAACTAAAGATGTGAAATCTTTTGCCAAAAAAAGGTCACCACTGATTTGGAATATTAATCTCATCAATATTTTGTGGTTGTAGTGGTATTTCTGCTCTTCTAATACGCTTAAATATTGCACGAAGAGCATTATGTGGTGGCAGGTAAGGGTAAATTTCTTCTGGAATTTATTCTGCATAATTTGTGCAAGTGTTCCTCTAGTATCATGGGCTCATTTATATAATTATAATTCACAATTCTTGAAGGTGTTCCTGAATATATAAAGTTATTTATTTAATTTTTATGTGTGTTAAATGTATTTTACTCGATTAATATTTTTACATACTGCAGATAAGACGAGTAACATCGATAATTGAATATTAAATATTATGTTGTAGCACAATAATGTTTATGTACTCTTTATAAATTAATACAAAACGATATAGTTACGATTAGCTTAAGTTTGTCACAATAAATCCTTAGAGCATCTTCTAAATTTCTTGAAATTATATTTCTTAATGCATGATTGTTCTCTCCTGCTTTATTTCGAGCATGAAGCATGTTGAAAACATAATATAGTAATTTTAAATTACACGTTTACTTTTAAAGCAAATGTTTTTGCGCTTTTACTATCAATTTGTTCCACGAACCGCTACTTTAATTATATCCTTTAAGTTAATTCTTATATAATTTTTGATTAGTCTATTATATAAGGATTTATTAGAACAATGGTAGACTATTAAATATGAATAAATATGTAGGTTATGAACCCATAATGGTAAATTTAAAATCAGCTGATAATGGATTAATGATAAAGATATTGTTCCTTTTACTGTTGTTTTAAGTAACTATAATATAAAGGATAATTACATTCAAAATTTTCTTTCCACTCATTCTTTTCGTAACTATTTTTTTTTTTTGAAATGAACAATTTCAACTGTTGAAGTTTAACGGTTTATCAATGAATTAAATATTAATGAATTTTTCCAGTTCGGATTGATGTAAATACATTTGTAATTATGATAATTTAATTGCTTCCTTTCCTAATGAATCAAAGAAATTATATGAGTATATTAATCGTTAATTAAAGTCTTCAGATTGAAGAGATTTCTTTTATAATCTCGATCATTTACTTCACAAAGGATTAACAAATACACCGTGAAATCTCTTTAAGAAAAGATTACTTTATAAAGCATTAGAGAAAACCATATAGTTGATGAACATTACTTTTGTAATTGATAACCAAAGTAAAAAATTTTTTTACATCAGAAACTATAACTAAATACTTGTCAGCGAATTTATAAATTATATTTGTATGATTCCTATAATAAAATCTAAGCAGCATTGTAAACACTTGGTAAGAAAATTAACTTGTTTCTTGATAACAATTTAGAGTATATTGTTACATTGATATAATTCCACCCGAAAAAGTGATAATTTTTGGCCAAAGAGTATTTAGGATAATTTTCAATTTTGACCAGGCTTCGTTAAAATGGCTGTTCTAATCATTTATTTTATATACAACGAGTTTTTCTTAGATTTTGTAATAGGATTCATTTTTCTTTGACACTCACACACTCTCCCAATTCCTTCCCTTTTCACCTTTGCTTTCGACCTTGTTATATTTTATTTTCACCGATTTTTCTCATTTTAATTTTTATGCGTAGTGATTTGCATTTGTTGAATTAATAAAATTAAAATTGCGAAAGTGTAGAGTACTGACGTTGAGGCAAAACTTGAATAATTAAATAATATTAGCGTCATAATTACTTCAATATTTCCTAATAAAAACCTTCTGCTCTGACGAATACTTTAAGCTCCTACTTCTATACAACGGTGGAATATTTGCTCTCCATGCTCGTTGTCAGTATTTCGCATTGAATTCTCAAATGCGATAGCACTCCAAGAATGGAAGGTATATGTTAACAGAATCTAACCGATGCTCACAAATATAAAGTACTGAATACAACTATATCTAAATAATTTTAAAATTGAGTAAGGAGAGATTTTATCAAAGAGCTATTTAATCCCTTGAACTTTAAGGTTCACATGCAACCCAACAAGCATTTTATAAACTTATAGGCATTCCTGATGGCTGTTTCTGAAATAATAAATTTTTGCAGAAATTGTAGTATTATCAAAATTTTTTTTTTGAATTGCGTCTAATAAAGATTTTTTACGTAGCGGTAGTGTTTTAAATTCAAACCAAAATCTATTATTTTGACGCCATTCTCAATTCCACGCGTAGCGCGTCATTTATAAATGTCTTTATAAACTTTTGAACTTTATGTAAAACCTGATGTAAAACCGTTTATTTCATACATTTGTAATTTATTTGTAAACCTCCGTTTATTTTGAGCTTTCTGATTTCATTGAAGTTTTTTTTTTTATTTATTTATTTTTCTTTTTTAAAAAAAATAGGAGAAAAAAAATAAACAAATATTTATCAATTTCCTTTCCTATCATTCTATCCTATTTAAGGTAAAGCGCACTCCTTTTGAAGATCGCATCCTATTTGATCACCAATAACCTCTTTAAACTTCTCCCATTTGCAATACTCGCCTCCACAACCCGGGATCAACATCGGTTTAAAGTTTAATACCATTCGTATCAACACCTCATTCTTTTGACAAGTATAAATTTCGAAATAAACCGTGGAAGACCAGGGTATAGATGCTAAATCCGTAAATTTGACTTCTTTAATCTTTTCATAGGGTAAATCTGCCGTGAGAGGGTATTTCTCTTTGAATACTCCCTGTGATAAAAGTATAATTCTATCATCAAAAAAAAAATCAAATAGGATAATAAAATGAATACAAACATTTCACATACCAATGAAGTGAACAGCGCAAGTAATGAATAACTATGAGAATTCTTTATATCAGCAATCATATAAGACTTCCCATTTAAAAAATTATCAACTCCAGTTACGAGTTGAGTTAGATAGACACAACCCATTCGCTTGTTAAAAGGATGGCCGTATTGAAGAACATGATAGTGGTAAATATCCCAATGATATCGTAATAATAGAAGATCTTTGGGGCTGAGTAATGAACACCACGTGTCAGTTCGGTTAAAATGAACGAGCCAAAATTCACAATAAGTAAAAACATATGGCATTAAATGTGGGTCAAGTGATGGATTGAGGTTGTATTCTTTGGAAATACGCTCGGCAATGGGTGCTAGAGTCTTGTTGCCATAGATATAAGCTTGCTCTAAGTAATCTGTATTGTTTAAAATGGATAGATACCAACGTGGACAGGCAACTTGCGGCTGTAACACATAATCTAAATACTGTATAAAGGGCATTATGTAAACGATTTTAAAAAAATATAAAAAAAATATTTTTACAAATAGCGTATCAAAATAAAAAAAATAAAAACGAAACTCACGCCCGGTAATGACGAAATATATACAGGTTGACTTTTACAAGTATCCAAGGGTCCCTTGCCATTGAATAATCCTTCAGCAAATGCCATTGCTGACGCACCGGTCCTTTAAATAGTAGCGCATAAATGTATTTTATATTTATGCAT